CCCCAGCTTAGGAGGCTGCAGAGCTCTGACAGGCCCAGATGACTGCAGCCCAGCACAGTAGCTACAACCATATTACATTTCCTTGGAGCTGCTGGCTCCCATGGACTGAATGCTGTTTTGTCTGTTCATTATGTGAATCTGAAAGCTGTTAACAATAGTTTGCTTCAGATTCGCTCCTCAATTTCAAGTGAAAGTTTCTTCTTCTAAAACCTCTTACTACTAATCACATCCTCTCAAATTATTGACAATGAATTTGGGAAGGCTAAAAATGTCTGTTGGTTAACGGGAAAAGGAGTCAAGATCAGGATACCTTCTGTATCCCTTCTCATTTTGATAAGCACTGATGATTTCTTTTGGGCACATTACCTAGTCCAAATTTGTTGAGACTAACTAACCCAGGAAAACAAGGACTCTGAGAGGCAGAAATGCTTAGCATCCTGAAAAATAAGATAAAATTAGGAGAATCATAACATGTTTGTCTGGTTTCCCTGCTTCAATAAACAAAGTGCCTCTCCCATTTATTGTGCTCACTCACAAACTCAGAGAAAAATAACACTTCTCTCCACTGAGCTTGACTTCTTCATTCTGGTAGACATGGTAATTGAGGGTTTGGAATACTCTAAGACATTTTTTTAAAATGAAGACCAAAAGAAATCCAGCTTTTTCATATACTGTTACTTCACAGAATAGTGTTTTCCTAGAAAATGCAAACAGAAATAAAATTTCGTGGCACAAAAGGGTAAGGGAGAAAGAAAAACTTTCACACAAAAAATGTTTTTCTTATCCGTTTCAACTGCTCCAGTAAATTACTGAGTCAATAAGTGCAGAAAGAATTGTAAGGAAATATTCTAATTAATTTCTTTTCTTAAAAAATTACATCTGCTGAGTTCTCATTCAGGAATCTTTCACTCTCATTACACAAGAGCTACACTGTTATTCTACTGCCTAATCAGGTTAACTTAATATGGTTTTTACAGAGTGATCTTCATGGCTGTGCAGCACAGCCCTCTTCCTCTCTTTCATCACAGTATTAAACAATCCTTCATCTCCTCTTTTTTTCCTGTATGAAATTACACAATTTCTCCTGTCCAAGCAAGAACCTTGTACTATTTGCTATTTAAATAACCCCATGCTATGTTTCCATTGAGCGTGCTTCCAATTTTTGGAAAGTGAGCTACAAACATCTTCTCAAATTGTACTATTGTGAGAGATCTTCAGATCCCTAAGCAAAATGCAAGTCAAAAGCTTAGAACTCCATCTGCAAGGAAAGATTCAACTGGCACAAACCCAAAATAAATAGAAATACTGATTGACATTCCAGTTCTGCCATGATTGTGCTAAACTCAGGAAAGAAAAAACAGTTCATACTTGATATGATGATGTCCCCAGGAATTTCTTCCAACAAAAGCCAAAACATGAAACAAAATGCAGAAATTCCACCTACAGCAACATTTTTTAAAGTATGCAGCTTTGGCAAGAGAGCTAAACTTTATTGGAACTTACTAGCTTTTTCTGGTTTGTATCAACACTTGCACACAAAAAGTGAAATTTTAAAGACTGAAGAAAATGCAAATGTTAGGGTCATTTCCCAGAACTTCTGCATTTATTTCAACAAAGTGAAAAAAAAATACAAAAAAAATACTTTCAAAAGATCCTCTATCTTGCCAAACCCATGTTGTTCGCTATATTTTTGTTAGTTTTACCGTAATCTCATAAAGCAGGTAATATTTTCCTGGACAGATAGACATAGAATGAAGGACCTCAGCAATCAAAAGTTCTCCATATTAAATGATCAGGTCTTCAAAAGTGCACAGCTCCCATCAGAGCTCTTATAACAGTCAGTATGAATTTCAAAAATGTTCAGTAATAGGGAGGAATTTTCAAACCTCTCTGGGTAATTTAGATGCATTAGTCTCATTGAAAGTTAATGAGCCATGTGCTGTTCAGGCTTTTGGGTCCTTTGTAGAAAACACATCTATGACTGGTATCGATGGTGGAAGTTTTTTTTTTTGATTTTTAGATTTTGATCTTATGCTGTTTAGACTAAATTCTGCTCTTAGCTACAGATGTGTAGCTTCTCCTCATGGTATATTTATGTCTCCAATGAAGCAATAGCTCCCCTTGCTCTGCTTTTTTCAAAGTCTGTCATCTGAGCATCTGAATGCAGCTGTGCAAAGAGTTGCATATCCTGGCCTCTAGCCCTTAGGACAATCCCAATCCTCCGTGCAGCTAAACTGTGTGAAGCCCACTGCTGACAACTTCTGCTGTATCTTGTACAGAAAGGAACAAACCACAAGGCTGAGAGTTGTTGAGTAACCATAGTCACTGCACTAGGATGTTAACGCTGGTACTTATCTGTAAACATAGAAAGAGCAAGACTTAAGTCTTTCCCTAGTTACCTACGCATCTCATTATTTAGATGCCAGAAGATTAAAAGCTGCAGAGAATATTTTCCTCTTTACTATACTCTCAGAATTAATTTTTAAAAGATTAATAAGGAGATGCCACTTAAGGACTAATTAAGCAAAGATTAAATGGACTGCTGAACAAGAAAGCAAGCAAGCAAGACTCATGATTTACAATGCCTGTGTGACACTTGGTGTTCCCTTAGTACTGAAAAACACATTAGGATCTCAGGAGAGCATCATTCAGCTTTGCTGCCCATTAAATCTGATCTCAGAGTAGCTAATTCAATCAGAATTATTTTCCAGAGCATAATATTAAAGTTGGAGAAGAGGAAGATACCTCTGTATTTTATACTTTAAATATTGAAAAAAAAAATAAAAAGCAAAACAAAGTTGTGATTAAACCCCACAACAGGTATTCCTTTCTTGAGACTGAAAGGAATGTGAAGTCTGCCTTCATATGAATTGCTGACTTCACGCAGGTTCAGCACCACAGAGGGTTTACCAGGAGCCAGTGGCAATAAGCATTCATAGCCTAAAGGGAAGGAAAAGAGGTTCACCCCTCATGGCAAAGGTCAGATTTCTGAGGCTTACAGCCTGTCCATATACACGAGTGTTCATGGGACATCTTTGTCTGGTAAGGTCCCATGAGGATGACAGAGGCTCCACAATGTCCCCTCTGCCTGGAGGATGGCCCTATAACCACCCAGATCAGTTTAGGGTCATTTGACTTGTGTTGATCTGGTTCCTGTTGCTTTTACTCTCAACCTGATGAACAATCATTGAAACCTTTGTGGGGATGTTGCTGAAGGCTGGAATGAAACAACTCCAGTACACAGAGAGACTGGATGTGTAAACAGGATATTTAACAGTTGCTATTTTCATGGATGTGGAGAGCTATCAAATATCCTCCACTGGTAACATACAACATGCTGTATACTTCATTTATATTTGCTTATCAGAATTGCTATGTAAATGTCATAGAAACGGCTATACTAATGATTATATTAGTATTTGTCTATTTATTCTGTAGATATCTTTTCAGAGGGTCATCATGTCCTTTGTTCCGTTTTGGAACCAATGCACTGCATGCCCAAATATTTGGAATAACATATAGAAAACATCTGGATTTAATTATATTATAGTCCTCTTATGCAGACAATGGGAATTGAATTAAGGAATATTTTGAAACCCCCACAGAGATATAAAAGTATTAGCAGCTGCACGAGAACTTTACTGTTACAATGTTTGAAAATGTTTTGTTTTACAGATCAACAGTCTGACACATCATAAATATCTATCATAACATTTAAGATATATACACATGGAAGAAAAAGCTTGCATTTAAAAACATGTAGATGAATTCACAGCATTTAGAAGATGTAGATACACTTTTGTTTAAAAACATGAAAATGTATAGTCTATTGGCACAGAAAACATACGTTGTACAGTGGTATTAAGAAGAGAACCACATAAGGGCTTATTGTGATGAACAGCCCAAACAAGACTTTATAGAATCTTGTTATATTGCCACCATATTGTACAAAGGGTAATTCAGCTAGAATAAATTAGCATTTTGCTTTTCATGCTTTCATTCCTTTGAAAATATTTGGGGAAATAATATGAGCTTAGAGAGTCTGCCCCAAAATATTAGATACAGATTGGATTTTCTTTCTGAATGTATGCTGGTTCCAAATGCCACTTCTTTTCAAGTCGGTACCAGTTTGCAGTTAGTTTTCAATCTCTCAGTGGCTAAATCACATTCAAAGGCTGTTAGCACAGTAGGGGGTCAGACTTTCTCTCTGAATGTAACTATATCACTCAACAGCAGACCCATGCAATAAGCGATCTAATGTTTTCTTTTCCTTTCCCCCTCCCTCCTCTGAGTGTCTCTCTGCATTCCTGGATACCAGTCACTGCACCAAGGACCTGAGGCAACAGCCTCATGGACTCCACTGCCATCCTTCTAGCTTTTTTTATGGTGCAAAAACATCAAGTCTACAGTTCACCTGCTGTCAATACAAAACATTTAATTGCTTAATCTTCTAAAATATTTAAAAACCTTCAAAAGAACATTGTAAAATATTACACATTCCTTTGCATAAGAAGACATGCAAATGTGTGTATATGCACATATGTATACAAACTTTGACAACCAATGACACAAAATATAATATTAATCCGATTCCTCTTCTTTCCATGATTTGCCCTGAAAATGCCCTGAAAAAACACTGTCTAATGGCAGAAAACTGTCTGGAGATAGATACTGTATCTACCATGCAAGACAGAGAGAGTTGCTAAAGCCAGAAGTAATACTGAGACAAAGAAAATATAAGTCCCTGAAATTGTAGTCTGTTTAGAAACTGAATTTATCAGGACTGAAGCTTGCACTAGCTGTTAGCACTGAGAAACACTGACTCTTGATACCATGTGGCCAGTGTGACCTTGTAAAGATGCAGCCAGGATCTCTGAACTTACCCATAGTATCATCCTGAATAGCATTTGTGGAATATGCCTTGCTGATGGACAGACTGTTTGAAATAAAGGGTGGGAGAACTGCTGGGCAAGGGGTTCGAATAAACTACACTAACTCACCCGTTTTACGAAGTGGAAAATCATCCTTGGCATCCTGTGCTCCTGGTAAAGTGTATTTGTATGGTGGTGAGGCCCCGCTCAGGGGTGGAGAGCTTTGATCCAGTGAGGTATGGTGGGCAGCCCTGCAGCAGACACAGAGAGGTCACAAATTAGCAGTCACTGAGGTGACCAGCAGTAACTATCTACACATGTTGTACATATGTCTCAGCTGTGTTTATGTTCTTGTTCGTGTAAGTGTGCACAAACCACAGGCTCATGTAACCAATTTCACTCTTACAGTAAGTTATGGAACTCCTTGGGATTCCCAAGAATGCACTTTTTGCACTCATTATAAAAGTCACATAAGATAAGAGTCATGTTGACCTACAGACAGGATCTGTCACCAGTCTGGGGAACTGACCACTTCAGATGGTTGCATTTTAATATGAATCAGCTGACACACAGCAAAAGCCATTTAAGTCTTGTTTATCACGTACAAATAGAAATTGTAGGTGATATGCATAGAAATTGCATAGTTTGCTCAGACACAGGGGTTGGTAGGTTTTTCTGTTTGGTTGGTTTTTTGGTTTTTGGTTTTTTGGTTAATTTTTTTATTTAGAGTTGGAGAGAGAGGGACAGGACGGAAACTTTCAAACTTTTGTTTATCAAAACATAATTTTACTTGGCCTTTTACAGACTCTCCCTGTCTTTCTAACACAGTGTAGTTAATACCATATCTCTGTCAAAAGGGGCACTACCATGAGAGGAAGGACTACTTTCCGCAGTTTAGCTGAAGACATGCTCTGCAAAGCTCCTCGTTCCCACTCATCTGAAGACTCAGAATGAAGCTCAGATTATTAGTCCAGAAAACTTACATATTCAAGAGAATTTTACACATTATGTGGAAGAAAAAAATTAAGTAAGCATTGTATCTGCACCAAAAACCATGTAACAATACATTAAATCATGATACCACAGTGCTCAGAGTGGAAACTCCATGGGCAGGCCTTCAGTAATCCTTTTCAAAAAGAACAAACACAAGATGAAAATCTAGTATAACATATGCACTTCCATTTGTCCTATTGAAGGTCAGTTTAGGCATAACATTGAAGCCTTTCAGAAATGTAGCCAGAGTTCATTTTGTAGGATTGACATATGTGTCTGTTGCAATAGGGCAGTCAAAAAGGAACTAATAAGTTAAAAAAAAAAGGGGGGGGGAAATAAAAACTGCAAAACTGTAAACTCTAACACGTTAATAGGCCCACTGCAGGACAACCGAATCACTTGCCTGAAGGTCTAAGCAGATTCTTATCAAGGCCAAGGCATCAAAAGAATATGCGGTTTCAGACACTAAAATCTATCAGAATAAGAAAAATTAAATGACCACTATCTTTCTCAAAATCCCGTTGAGTTACTTATGCCATTCAAGGTACTGGAATCAAAGCAGCATCTCTTCAAGAAGAAATAAGTTTTGTGATTGATTCCAAATCCAAGTAAGTCAAGCACAAAGTTGTTCTAACTGTACAATTTGAAGATACTTGGAAAAATTACAGGTATTTGTGATAGTATCAAAAGATGAAGCAGTTGAAAAAAAAGGAATCTTGTTCTGTGTAGCTCTCTTCTCATCACTGAACACTGAGTGCTCAGTTTAACCAGAAATACAACACTTACGGCTTTTTGCTGATTTTTTGGTTAAACTCCTGTCTTGCTCTGGAGACAGAGGCTCAATAACCCTGCTGCAAAAGCATTCTGGTAAGTTTTAACTGATATCTCAACAAAGCAAGGAAGCAGCTTCATACTGAACATACGTGTACCAGAGCTTGGGGTGGCGATTCATGGAATGATTCTTCCCATTTGCCGGAGAGTCTTTTGTTGCTGATTTACTCAACAGGAACTCCTGAAGTTTCTGCTTCACTTCTGTACTGGCCACTGCCCCTGAGACATACAGAATTAAATGTATTTTATCTCGAAAAAAATTACTTTTTTAAAGAAAACAAAACCCTAAACAGAGCCTGTGTCTTGTTGCTGGAAGTGTTGTATACCATAAAAAATAGTGGTGGAAATCAGTCAAAATGAGATAACATTTGGATTATATGTTTGTCTGTTGAAGCCTTAAATTGGCCATAATCCCAAACTCCAGTGAAGTCATAAGGAATATTTCAACAGTAGAGGAGGCCATTTATCCAGGGCCAGATGTACCTAAAGAATTTAAATTATTTCCTAATAATTCCCAAATACTAAACCAAGGATAGAACTAAAAAGACAGTGACAAAAGGTCACTTTGAGTTTGCAGTAAAGAATGTTTTTTTCTTTTTGTAAAGTAATAGTAACAACACAGCAAACTGCCCTCTAAAAACTGTCTTGATTATGAACAGAACACTGTAGAAAGAGTCAGCAGTGAGACTTTTTACTGAAGCCCCTTAAGAGCCTGTACCCATAATGTCTGGAAAAAAGAAGATAGTGCATTTTGACCTCTCTTGGTGGCTAGCTCAATACAGAACAAGAAGTAGAGCATGTCAATGTAAGGTTAAACTTCCAACTCCTACTTGCAGCACAGGACATGCTTCTTTACTCACAGTCATAATACTCTTCATTTTAAAAAAAAAGTATGAAAAAGAAAAATCTTTTAGTTTTCCACAATCAGTGACAAAAAAAAGAAAAAAAAAAGGAGGGGAAGAAAACCCATTTCTTTGAAAGTAGCAGCAGTAAGGCATACTTGATACTCCATATATTTGGTAACCCAACCCTAATACACTGCAGCTAGCTGGTGCGCATGTCCCCCTGTGACCCAGTTCCCATAAAATACCTCTACTACCCCCAGGCTTCACACCCCAAATCCCTTCCCTGAACCTTCCTTCTTTTCTCTACTCATTAAGTAGAACATCAGCAACAACCAACACCGGGGTTGGGCCCAGAGGTGTCACAAGCTGCTCGGCTGGCTGCTACATACTGACCAGCAAGTCAAACTGAGAAAGGAACCATTGAGTTCACATCTCCACTCTTCCTCTGGCAGGAGCACTAATAAAGCCCAACTGTTTATGGCGAGTCTGATTTTTTGTACCACTTAAGAGGAACCTTTTGTTCCTGCAGTTTCTACCACTCTCACACTTCTGGGTCAATATTCTGGTGATGTTTTATGGGCTCATTGTTCATCAAAGTACTGGAAGAACCATGGACATCTTATAACTGTTGAACTGATAAATTTCTCCCAAGAAAAAAAAGCAGGCTCACAATGTACAGTTCCTTTCTGCTTTGGTCTTTATCAGTTAGTTCTTGTGCTCATTTAGGGCAAGTGACAGTATCTGTTTGTGGGAGCTTCATTTTGAATACCTTCACACTGTACTTCAACCTGATTTTTAGACTGGCCTCACTAAGGAGAACTATTTGTATCTGTCTCCCTCTAGTGAGCATCAAATCCCACCAACCCTTTATAGCTGGCTTTTTTCCTTAAAACTATATATGAGCTACAAATAGCTCTCAGTTGGGCCTCATGAAATGGCATCAAGAACAAAGCCAAGCAGTTTGAAAAAGTACAAGTACTAGCAAAAGTATTCAGAAGTCTCATTCAAATCATTAAATATTTCATTGTATTTTCAATCTTGACACAATGCTCAAATAAGTTAATCAGCAAACAAATTGATTTTTTGCTCTTTTGTAATGCTTTCTGTATTGAGAAATAAGCTCTTCAGAAAACAGTTCTCGCATGAAGCTTTGGGCTTTCAAATTCCCTCATTTTTTATAAGAAGAGCTAGATTCTTGAGAAGCATATACACAGGTCTGTCAAACTGTGCTTTTTGTTGGTCCTCCAAGTCTGCACACAAAACAGAAATGTGTTTCTGTGGGTGCAGTGGGTGGCCCTGCCCTTCTCCAAGCACAGCCTCGACTTGTCAAGCTGCGTATTTCACACAGTAATAGGCTTCCCTCAGGTTCCTGTTCATAGTCCATTTTGGCTGGGAGAATGCAAAGGGGAATAGATTAATTTCTTATTAGGATTCATGGTACATTGGTTCTTACTTTCTCGTCCTCTTTCTTTGCCTCGGAGGGGAGGAAGCTGTTGCTCCCTGCGATGCCTCTCCAGTTCCTGCTCTTGCCTTTGCTGCTCCAGTTTCTGCTCTTTTTCAAGGAGTTCTTGCTGTTGTTTAATGGCTAGGAGTTCCTGTTGTAACTTGCACAGAACAAAAAGACATGAGAAAGTGCAGTTTGCACTGTTTTCTAGGTCAGTCCTGGTTAAAACAACCCCCTTGAGTATCTGTGGATTGGTGCTTGCTTTTGTGCTTACACTTCTTTTCATCTCTTAACTGATTTTCCCCAGTCTTTTAAGCAGGGTTAGTGCACTATGCTGGATATGCTGCATTATGCGGGATAGTGACATGGCTGTCACTAAAATGAACTCTAATGTCAGGAAGCAGCCTGCTGCTCTGGTTTCACTTCTCTCTCTTTCAGTAAAGATGCCTGGAAACTGCGCAGTGTTTTTTGCCTGTGCATCACCCAGCTCTGGCTGCCCCACACGGTGGAAGCTTAGCACAGCAGCATAATGGCAAGTAGATAACAAGGAAAAATGAAAAGAAAGGCAAGATCATAAATTCCCAGTCAAAATCCATTATAGTAAGCCCACCATAGTGCACGTAATCCCATAAATCATTTCCTTTTTATATTCAATGAGGCAGATCAGAGAAGAGTGAAAACATGACACTTTCAGGGCCTGTCTCCATTTTCCAAATGCAAATACAATGCACTTCCCTATATTTGATTTTTTGTCACAAACTCACTTTTTGAGTAGCCCTCAAAAAGTCTTTAATATACTAAAAAGTGCACATATTGAAAAGACTTGACATATTGAAGTCTGGCTGAAAATTCAGGTTGTAAAATAGATAGTTTGATTTTTTGTGATTGTGGTAGCTTCATGAGCTTGATGATCCTCATAATACTGCCTCAGTCTGCTGCGAGCAAGTCACTGATAGGTGCTAGGAGTTTGGCTTGAAAAGGCGTTTATCACCCCAGTACAGAGAAAGAAGCACTCACACTACCTCTCAGTCACAGCAAACCTTTCAGGCATGTTCCCTTTTCATGTCTGCCTAAGGATATTCAGTTTGCAGATAAAGTGAGGGATAAATGAAAAATGTTGCTACCTTTATGTGCTCCTGGAGCTGGGCCTGATGCTGGCGGGTCAGGTTTTCATGCTGCTTCTGAAACTCTGCAATCAGCAGTTGTTTCTGAATTTGCTGCTGCTGTTGGATCAGGAGTAGTTCCTGCTGTAGCTGCTTTTCACGCATAATTGGGTCCACCATGGGAACCATCATCCTGAGATCAGTTCGCAAGTCTAATGGTGAGATAGGCTCTAACCCCACGGGAACCTCTGACTTTACATCCACTGGGGGAAGAAAAAAACAAAACATATATATAAAATATAACTGGAGAAGGAGAATAGAGATCATTCCTACCAGGAAAAAGACCAATTTCACTCAAAGACTGATTCAATATACAGGCCTTTTAAAACATTAATGCAACCTCTGCTGTATGCAAACTTTAGGCATTCCTACCAGCGACTGGAGATTTTACAACTTATTTAGCACTTTCTTTCCATTCCTTGTTAAAATACTCACAGATATATTCTGCTAAACAGACTAATCAGCAATCCTGTTCTAAAACCATGTCATAGCCCAGTGGAGTCATACTTCATTAGAATCTCCTAGGCACTATTAATACTACACAATAAACACTCAGGGCACTTCCTCAGCATAAGATGAAGGCATTGCCATTCTCACTGTATTGCAAGACATTTTTCAAAACTACTGTGTAGATTTTTTAAGGCTGGTGTTACACATACCTACTGCATAAAAACACACTGGCAAACAGAGGAATGACACATATAACATTACAGGAAAATAATTTCACACACAAAACAAGTTTTAATACAGCTTTTGGAAAAATGACCACCATGCTTGAAGTGGATTAGACACAATACACTATATGTGGCTTGTAAGAAAACGAAAACATCTTGAATTATTCCAACTTTTTGTAGCTGTGTTATGTGTTGTTAATCCAGCATTAAAGTACTTAATGAAGAATTCTTATTTTTCTATCTCCTAATTTAAATAGAAGGGACTAAAAAGCAGTGCAAGGGAGAGAGATTTGATAATTTTCACTACAATACTTGTAAAGCTTTGGTTTTCACATTAAGTGACTGAATGTAATTTTACCTGTTGCAGAAGAACAAAAAAACTAGCAAGTACCATTTCTACAAGAGAAAAATAAATAGCAGCTGAAGGTCTCTCCTAAAGCTCAGCAGTTCTGATTCCATCCACGAGAGGACAGTGGAACACAAACACATTCTCTCCAGTTTCTCTTCCTCCCCTATCTTCACTGGAAAATAAGATTATTAATTGAAAACAAACATGTTGTCGGAAATGACTGTGGAACAAGATTTAAAACATATTTTCTCCTTTTTCTCTGCTTCATCTGTACTTGTTTTCAAGGAGAAAACCAAATGAAACAGAAATATTTTAGCAAGCAGAAGCAGCAAAATTGAAGCTGTAAAAGTTGAAACTGCAGCAAATGCAAAGAACTGAATTCTAACTGAATTATCAAATCTACTAGTAAAAGAATTTATAAAAAGAAAAGGTATTGAATCCCTTCTACTGATCATACTTTTTTCTTCTCAAAATTCTGAAAATATACAATTTTCTGGCCCCCTTTTTAAAAAAAAATCCTAATAACTATGATTGTAAACCTCAGAGTGTAACTCGCCTTCTTAACCCTCTATCCCAATAGAATGATTGTGTCTAAGTGCTTACTTTTGTTCTGAAACAAATTATAAAAAATCACCTTTAACTTACAAAAACTACTCTTGATTATAAATAATTGCTACCGACCAAGAGAGACATACAGGCAAACCCCCAGCCTTTCATCCCATTTATTCAGCAGCAATCCACATTCCATTTGTCTAGACTAAATATAGCTGCGTTTATACAAGAAATCAATAGTGCTTGCAGAGAGCAGAGCAAAGACATGAATATTTCATCAAACCCGGAGAGAAATGGCAATCAGCAAACTGACAGCAAACGGTGTAGGCTGACTGGCCCTCCAGATAAGTCTCCTGTACTTGGACAATGGTTCATTGCCTGCAAGTCACAATCTTATCATCAGCACTCTTCTATTTTTAACATTAATTGCATTGTAGGTGACAAAGGTTTATCAAGTTTAAAGGGGAGAGATGGATTTTCTTACATCTTCTGTGACAGGATAATAAGCCTTGCTAGGAGCAGTAGCAGTAACTGGTGCTTGGCAAGCCCTGCAAGGTCTGGTTCTCAATAGTGTTTGCAAACTGAACCCCGCAGGGTTTGGTTCACAATAGTGTTTGCAAACTAAGCCCTGCAGCTCACTTTGCAGATACTGGCTGTAAATCAACCCCTACATATCTTCACTGTGATTCAGGCTGATTATACATTCTATCATGGACCAGCATCCCACTTCTTCATTTTCAGAGAAACCAGTATGAGAGGAGGCCTCCAGATTTTTCTAACAATGGAAATTTCCTTCCACTATTAGTAAAATCTACAACTGAAACCAGGTTCAGTTTGATAAGCTACACATTTTCAAGAATTTTCACACACTCAAATAATTAATCTAGCACTGGAGTGGTGCTACTTCATCAAGCTGGCCTTAACCAACTGGAGTGGTGCTACTTCATCAAGTTGGCCTTAACCTTGTTCCTTCATGTGGGGGGAAAACAAACACTAATGACATAAGGTAGTTATAGAGACTTGAATCCAGAGAAATCAATACATAATATTTCATGTAATTTCAGTGCCATTATTTACTGGTAAATAAAGGCAAGGAATTATTTCCTGGCACAAATATTGCTAACATTAAGGTTACCTCCAATACTAAAGGCTAACATAGGAAATACTAACTTTTGAGGGTAATTACTATCTTAAAACTGTACTTAGTAATAATTAGCTGGGTATTAGTCAACCTCATCAGTTAAATTATTATAAACAAGTAACTGTAAGATTACCAATCAAACTGAAAGGTTTGCTGTTCTCTGTTCCTCTGTCCTAATGCCAAAAGTCATTTAGATTCTTCTTACTTGTTAGTAGCTAACAAGAATGAGATGAAGCAGACCTGTGAAAGTACATCAGTGTGAAAAATGTGTAATGGAGCAGAGAATCAGAATCAGCAGCTTTAAAAGCTCTGACTTTTAGCTGAAGTATCTTCCTCCCTGCCCCTCCCAATGCAATTGTCTCCAGAGAGCAAAGGTGATACAGAATGTTTACTCTCATTGGAGTTTTATATGTTTTTTCACACCCTCTACACAGATATATGTATTTTACAGGTAAAAAAATTGTCCTAATCAGTGCCCTCAACTTCAAATATCACGAGAATCAGCGCGATGAAGGACTTAAGCAACAGGATTCATCGAGGTATTACACAGAGAAGGAAAGGGATGGACAATGACAGAAAATATTAATCAGTTTGACAAAGACTAACTTCACTTCACTTGTTTTGCAGGATTTTCAGTATCACCAGTGGAGTAAGGTTGTAGTGGACATGATTCAGAGTGGGACCCTGTCCATACTCTTTCCACTGTGGTCCAGAGCAGATCGTTCCCAACAGCTCTGCTGACTACAGAGCAAGCCTGGGATTCCTCTCGAAGGTTAAATAAAGACAAACTCTCTGAGCTCACGTCAGCTGCAGTGAATACAACAGTAGGCTGCAGAATATTAACTAAAAATGTTACTGAAAGCTCAGTGATTCCAGGAAATATGCCAAAATTTGAGTAGAAAAATATTTAATTTTCAGCTACAACACATTGCAAAAGGCATATGTATTTATTTTTCCTATAAATACTCGATTGCTTTTATCTTGAAACATAACAACAAAAATAGTCTCAGAAGAGCATCCATATCAATTATATTCCATAAATGGCACTTCCCACAGGGCTTTTGAAATTCTGTGGAAAGAAAATAAGACACTTGCAGAATGGTATGTTTGCTGAGTGACTTAGATTCTTGGATCATATGTAAAAAGAGGTAAAAGAGCTTGTTTTAACCCTCAGGCTTTGCTTTTTGAAACTATTCCTTAAAATGGGAACACTGAACAACTGTTAAGTCTTCCACTAAGAAATGGCAGTTCAAGCTTTTTTTCTGGTGACTGGTTTCAATTCCTGATGTATTAGAAACACAGATCTTCCAAATCAGAAATGCTAAAGGAAAATATCAGAAAATAAAGCAGTCCGCTTTCTTACCATCTCCTAAGAGGGGCAGTCTTCTTTTTTTGTTGGCAGTTACCTTTCTTGGCAGACATTTATGCCATCTTTAAAAGCAGGAACCTAAACAAGCAACGCTGCCATCAGCTGAACAGTCATCATTCCTGATTTGAGATGCAATGAAGAAGAATCCTAGTAGACTTCCTTATCAGACCATCTTGTCAAGTACATTTATGATTGTTGCAGAAGAGGAACTGTGTGAAATTGCTGGGACTGCAGGAATCGAAGTTAACCTTTTCCCAAAGGAATGTCTCAGTTATGCTGTTGGGCTGGGACAGTAAGGAAGGCTGGACAGAGAAACAGGGCTGGTGAGCTCCTTCTCCTGCCTTGGTTATCCAAGGCAGAATTTTACTGGAGAAGAAGTTAAGTTTTATGAAGTGAACAAGAAGTACTACAAAAGTCAGAATGCTAAATTAGAACTACATGTCACAAGCTCCTCCAACTAGCAATTTCAGTAATAGGCAATAAAAACATATTCCTGAAAACACACAAAACCCAAGAAAAACCTAGAAGAACCACTCTGCCTAGAAATGGCCATACCTTACCCCAGACATCATCGTGGTGAAGTATTACAAAGAAAAGAGAGAATGAGAGAGCTGTTTATACTCTTTCCAACTTTGCTCTACAAAACAGAGTCCACCTAAAGTCATTATTAACTTGTACAGTACTTCTCATAGATTTCATATGCTTTTCATAAAATGAAAAACCAGAAAAATTTTGCAAATTTTAGTGCAAAAGAAACTGCCTCCATTTGGCCTCTTCTTTCAAAGAAAGTGAAAACTCTTCCTTTTTGCAGGATTAGCCATAAGTCAGTCATGACATAATCAGAGCTCTAAAGAACTTATAGAAAAGAGCTCTAAATTGTGGGAATAAAGATAATCAATGAAGATAATCCTTTAAATTTACTCGTCAGTTTAAACCTAGAATTTTTTAACCAGGTTTATGTGCCAACTCATTCACTGTAATTGTCTTTGAAACAGATTGAAAAAAATCTTTGAAAATACTGAAAAAATGAAATACCATAGCAGGCTGGAAGTTGCAGGATTAAGAAACAGAGGGTAAGAGCGAAACTTTGGCAGTCATGTGAGACACCAAGTAACTGG